GATCAGCCATCAAGAAATAGACCATTTAGTGGAGCGTCAAGTCACACAAACACAGACATAATTTATGTTTTTACATAATAAGACACACATAGAACGCATGTAAATAAAGTCTTCATGAATCTATGCTCTTTAGATTAAAGAATAAGATGTTATCAATGGCCTTCCAATGAGGGGTTGATCACCAGAAAAAAGAAGGACATAGCTGGTTCTGATACTTTACTATGTAGTTCTTGGCAGCACTCCAAGAGGAGTCATTGGTTGTGGTCATTGACTACAGAAAAGAGATTGTTCTTCTGGAACTTGTACAACCTTTCCCTCCTGTGCCTCTCATCTTCCAGTCTTTGTCCTTCAATGCCTGAAACGTCTCTCTTCCTGACACTCCCCCCCTCCCCCATCCTCATCACCTTCCTTCAAGGCACAACTTGCACAGTCATATCTTTCAAGAAGCCTTTCCTAATACCCCCTGCTCATAAACTGTGCAATATCATCAGCTATTAATGTCTCACAGGATCATAAGATTAAGAACTGGAAGGGAGATTAGAGCTTTTTCTACTCCATCCCCATTTTACAGATGAAGACATTGAGTTCTAGAGAGGCTAAGTAACCTCTGGCCCATGGTAATATGGTAAATAGCAGAGATTGAATTCCACATTCTCCAATTCCAAATACAGTGTGCTTTTCCTTCTACTTTGACTCAGTTTTTTCTTTGAATCTAAATTTCTCTGTCTTTGTATCCCTAGTGCTTAATAAATTGTCTTGTCCTCAATAGGTGCTTAATCAATCACTAATCTCTTGGTGAAATCTTGATTTAATTTACTCTCGTGGATTCTGTGATCATTTCCAAGAGATGACTCCCATACTCATCCTTAATTTCTCTCCTGAGTTCTAAACACATATCACTTTTGTGCATTTCCAGCTGCATAGGCATCAGACTCATAATGTCTTAATCAAGATTCATAATTATTCTCTTCACCCCCACCCTTCTTCTAAATGTCCCTATTTCTTTTGAGGGTATCACCATCCTTCTAGTCACCAAGGTTCAAAACCTTAGAGTCATTCCTAACTCCTCATTCTTCCTCACCTCAAATTTCTAATCAGTTCTCTTGATTCTAGTTGCACCTCCCACCTGTTCCCTTCTTTCTATTTATACGGGCCCCCACCTCCCAACCCCAATCCCACTTCAGGCTCTCATAACCTCTTGCATAGACTGTTGCAGTAGCCTTCATATTGGTCACCCTGTTTCAAGTCTCTCCACATTCCATTTTGCACACAGACACCAAGTTAGTGTTTCTAAAACTTAGATTTAAAATGTAGATGTCCCTTCCCTGCTCCCAAAGCTATATATTGTAGCTATTGTTAACTAGGTTAAAATACAGTCTTCTCTGTTTGTCTACCTTTTCTGAGTTCCTGTACATTACTGCCCTTCATACACTCTACATTTTAGCCAAACTCACCCAATTGCTGTTCTTAAAATATCACATTGAATCTCTCATCTCGATGCCTTTGAATAGACTGGGTCTCATGCCTGAGTACATTCCCTTTTCACCTCTTCCTATTATTATCTGTAGCTCCCTTCAAAATTCAGTTCCAGCACCACCTCCTATGGAGGTCTTATCTGGTTTGTGCCAGCTGTGAATACTTCTCCCACTGAAATTATATTTTATTTCTTTTGTATACAGCCTGTACTTACTTTTCTGTGTGATTGGTGTTTCCCCCAATAGAATGAAAGCTTTTTGAGCGAAAAGTCTGTTTCATTTTTGTCTTTGTATTCACCTAGTAGAGTACCTGGAACAAAGAAGGTGCTCAATAGAGGCTTGTTGAGGAATAGGAAGGTGGTGCAGCCCTTGAGTTAGGAGGACCTGAGTTCAAATGTGGCCTCAGATACTTACTGGCTGTGTGACCCTGGGCAAGTCACTTAACTCTGACTGCCTCCCCCCAAGAAATACATGCTTATTGATTAATTAAATATTTGTTGAATTGAATTACATGGTTCTCAGAGGGGAATGGAAATCATTAATTTATGCACATTGAAGAGAGGATAATTTTAAGTCAGTGGGTTATTTTAAGATTATAGCTTAGTGAAAGAAGGTTTTAAGAGGATATGGATCATGGCTTGAATTCTAAAATACTAGAAAAGAGAGAGTAAGGTCTTCCAAGCATGATAAGTAGTTTGTGTGAATGAGAAAAGAGCAAAATGGTTTAAGAGTTAGTAAGTAAGATAGGTTTTGCTGGCTAGTGTAAAGGGTACAGGTAAAAGGAAGAAGCCAGAGAGGGTGGATATTTTAGAGCCTTAAATCCTTTAGATCAGAATCTATTCTGGGCAATGGGGAGCCAATGGATATATATGAATAGATCCGTAATCAATTTATATGAGTAAATTATCACACAAGGCACTCATACCACAAATGGTACATGTTAGTATATAATCTAGCTGAAGAATATTTGATGATTTCAATGAGACAGTCTGGAAGCCCTCTGAAGAAAAGATTGAAATAATCAGAATTTGCTTAAATGGAGTCTGGACAAGAACTTTAAGGGCTGAGTTAAGAGAAATGGATGGGGCTGTGCTATTGCCAAGTAGCAGGACTTGGCAATGGATCAGGCAGTCTTTAAAAAAAAGTCCACATGATCAAGATACTTTTGATTCTGTCCAAAGTAGGGGTTCTTACTCTTTTTTGTGTCATAGACCCCTTTGGCAGTTTTTTGAATCATATGGACCCCTTCTCAGAATAATGTTTGTAAATGTACAGAATAAAATACATAGGGATTATGTACAAAGGAATCGATTATATTGAAGTACAGTTATCAAAGTATTAAAAATGAAACCTCTGAAATCTGTCCATGGGTAAGAGGTCCATGGAGGAATCCCTGATCTAGAGGATAAGCACTGATCCATCCACTCTGTCCCTCATTTGACTCACATCTGTAAAGTTAGGATTAAGAATATAATCTATAGCCAAAGAACAGAGCAAAGCTAACTGATCCCATATGGAATCTATGAATTTGGCCTTATTAACATTCTTCTGTATTCATTCAGTAATCATTTCTTAATAGACTATGTGCAACTTAGTCTGCTAGGGACTTAAGAAGACAAAAAGATAAATAAGACTTAATTCCTACCTTCAAAGTATAGGAATTTAATAGGAGAGAGAAGGTCTTCAGGAATAAGGATAATACAAAATAAAATGTAAGAAGTATCCAAAAGAGGCATAAGCAAAGTATTATGAAGATTCATTGGAGGAAGAGATACCTTTTCACTGGGCAAATCAGGAAAAACTTCATGGAAAAGGTAGAAACTGATCTGGGTCTTTAAGGATGGTTAGGATTGGGGGAAGGGAAAAAGCATCCTTAGCATAGAGAATACTGTGAGTGAAGGCGGGAGGGGGGAGGCTAAAGAATATTGGATATTTGAAGCATGATGAGCAGTCTGATTTAGGTGGTACAAAGAGTACATGAATTGTCATGTGAGATAAGGATGGGGGTAAGTTGGTTGGAGGGCCAGATTCCTGAGTTCAGGCCCACATTTGGTTTTTATTCAGTGAGCTAGAGGGAGTCATTTAATGTTTTCATGTTGTTGACTCATGTGCTCAGAGTCATGAATAAAGAAGATGAATCTAGCACTGGTACATAAGATGGACTAAAGAGTGAAAAGACTGTAGATGTACAGTAGTTAAGAGACTATTTATTGGGATGAGCTAGACATGATGGTGAGGGGCCTGAATTAGGTTATTGGCAGTGGAAATAGAAGGGGAGAGACTAGGGGGGCAGAGATAAGAGATGCTGTGGAGGGAGAATTGACAGGACTTGGTGACTGGATGTGGAAGATGAGGAAAAGGGAGGAGTCATAGATTCTACTGAACTTACAAACATGGGTGATTATCCACAGACTAATTGTGGAAGCTAAAGAACAAAGAATCCTCAAAAATCACTCCGAGACAGCAAACAGATGGTAATGCTGTTGGAGGTACATTTACTGTCCACATCACTCTCTTGCTACTTATGATAATAGTTGTTAATAATAATAATAGCTAAAATTTAATAGTGTATACTGTGTGCCAGGTACTGTACTAAGTACTTTATGATTATCATTATCTCATTTATTCCTCACAACAACCTTGACATGTAGGTGCTATTATTATCCCCACTTTACAGATGAAGAAACTGAGGCAGAGTTGAAATTACTTTCCCAGGGTCACACAGCTAGTAAGTGTCTGAATCTGGATTTGAACTCAGATCTCCCTGACTCCAGGTGCAAGGATTTACCCAATGTTCCACCTAGTTGCCTACATTTATTACTTATTGCCTTACATCATTAGTTACTTTTTAAAGTTTCTACATTTTATCTCCTCAACTTGACTTGTTAGCTTCTTGTGGGCAGAAATGTGTGTCTTACATTTCCTCAGCACCTGGCAAAATGTAGTGCTTATCATGGGTACTTGCTAAGATTTTGTTTTATTGACTGTATGTGAAGATCAGGAAGCCACCCAAAATAAGTAGCTGAAATGGATTGATCACCTAATAGGTGTTCAGGATCATAGTCAAAACCATATGTTTTAGCTGAGTGTCTTTTAGCTAAGTGATGAACAGGCTAGAATATCTTTAGCCAGTGACCCTAATTAGATCATAACTCAAACCTCCGTGGATTGCAGATCACCAGTGACATGCAACCTGTTCATGTGGTCACTAGCTTTCCTACTGTGGCATGAGGATGATTGGAGCATGGAGATTTAATAAAATATACACACCTATTTGAAGAACTCTGCAGAGAAATGAAGGAAACTTTCCTTTAGTCCGACTTTGAAATGGGGGAACCCTGAAATATGGGTTTATTTGAAGTGGCATCTTTGTTTAGGTGTAGCAGGCTTCATTACAGTTTGCCACAACTGTGCCACAGCAGTGACAGGCTCTTGATAAAACCTACAGTTAAGAAGAATGATTCACATATTTTAGACCTTGCCTGATATACTATTTTTGTTGTTGCCATTTCCTAATTTTTGTAGGTGGTGGCTCTAGGAGAAGTACCAGATGGGACTGTGGTCACAGTCATGGCTGGTAATGATGAAAATTATTCTGCTGAGCTCCGAAATGCATCTGCTGTCATGAAAAACCAAGTAGCAAGATTCAACGACCTGAGATTTGTGGGCCGAAGTGGAAGAGGTGAGGCTTTTAAAAAGATGATGTATGCTATGTTGGAGCACTTTGCAAATCTTAAAGCATTACCAAATCAGCTATGGTAATGATGATGATGGTGGTGATGATGATGATGATGATAATGATGATGATGATGATGGTGGTGGTGGTGGAGATGTAATCAAAACACTAGAATCCTGAAATGAAATACATATAAACTTTTTTAAAAAAATAAAGCAACAGCCTTCTTTTCCCCAATAGGGGTGGCTCATGTTTTATTTGAAGACCCAGTCCAGGTAACATTTATTATTTTTTTTGACTCCTTTAATCTTTCGGATTTGTTTCACAAGTTTGAAAATTTGAATTTTTTTTTCAGAGGAACTTGTTATTAAATTTGTTGGGCACATGAGGGTGAGGTACAGAGGAAGGAAGTTTTCATAGGTTCAAGTTCTGGGTTACAGGGAGTCAGATAACGGAGTTCATTGAGTGGCAAAGGGGGAAGAGAAATACATATTTTTAGTTTCTTGATGGAAGCCCAATTGCTCTTAAGTCATAACAATTTGTCATTATATTCTTCACTTATTGTGTGTGTCATGGCATCATAGATTGAGATCTGGAGTTGGAATATGACTCTATAACAAGGCTTCTTAACGTTTTTATTATCATGAATTCCTTTGGTAATCTGGTGAAGCCTATGGACTTCTCAGAATAATGCTTTTAAATGAATAAAATAAAATACATAAGGAAATCAATTATACTGAAATACAGTTATCAAAACATTTTTTAAAAATAAGTTTGCATTTCCCAGGTTAAGAATCCCTGTTCTATGGAGACAGCAAAATAGCATGATCATTGTTTACTTTCAAAGTAAGAATGCATAGGCAGAGACATAACTAGCAATTTTTGCACCTGGGGCAGCACAAACTGTACCTCAGGATAAGGAGCACAAAATGAACCCTTAAATCTACTTTTAAAGCCAAAATCCTGGAAGCCACTGCGGGGAGGGGTAGATGCCTGGGGCCACAGAGAAGTTACAGCTTTGGAGTCCACTGTGAAGGAGAGACAAGCAGGCAGGTCAGAGATGGGAAGGTGGTCATCTTGGATGTGGGGTGGCAGTGGGAAGCAGGCCATCTGGTAGATTCCTGCTTTTAACCTATTCTTCTTGCTAAGTGCTAAGCCCTATTGTTGCTCTAGTACTATAAGTATTTTTAGGATTTTCTAAATTTGAAATCCTGAGTACAAAACCCCAATTGCCCCATTCTAGTTCAGGCTCTTTGCACTTGCCTTGCCCTTTCCATTGGTGACTGGCATTTACCTTTGCAGTAAGATTTTTTAAAAAATTGGATTGAGTGTAAACTTTTAATGCATCAACTTGCTTTACTTCAGCATGACTGTGGAATTGGTGAGCCTGATAAATGATCATGACTCTGAATGTCCCTTTGGTATTTAAGGATTTCCTCTCATCTGAAATCTATACTGAAATTGTAGGAAGCCTTTTAAAAGATGGTAAATAGAAAATAATTTCCTTTTAGCCGTTTTGCAGCTGCTTCATAATTGGAGTTAATGATGGAAAGGATGTCTCTAAGGAAACCAGTTCTTCAGTTTTCACAGGATTCTCCTGAGACAATCCTATGTATCATCTCCCTATTAGACTTAATGTATTTATTTGTTTATTTAAACAAATATTTCAATTTTAAGCCCTCTTATGAGGAAAGAAAAATCAATCCCACTGTGTGCTGCAAATTCAGTTAAAAAAATGCAAATTCTCTTCTGGAATAGCTGGAACAAAATAGTGGGTCATAGGAAATGAGAGGCTCCAGTTTTTAAACAAAGTCCAAACTGACTGCTCTTAAGTTTGGATCAGATGTCATATTATTACTATTGTAAAAGCTTGATAAGGGAGACTCAAGAAGAGCTGTTTCCGATGAGTAGTTTTAGTTTACTTTCTAGGAACAAGGCCAAGAAGTTGTACTTTTAAACTTTTTTTTAAGAACAATTATGCATGATAATGAGATACTGTCATAGAGAGGTCGTTTGAAATAAAATGAAGCTGGATCTCTCCACTGAATCAAAGCAAAAGGTGTTATTTCTGCATCATGTTTAAGTTAACTTCATTTAAAAAAAAGAGCTGTTCTATCTTTCTATTGAATGATTAAGTTTAAAATCTCTTTGACTCAGTCACTAGCACAGCCTCACATTAAAAGTACAGTACAGTATTTCTTTTCTCTAATAAGCACATGGAAGAATATCCTGGACTCCCTGTGTGTTCTCAATCTCATTTGAGTCCTGTGAAATATTATTTTCTATTAAAAGAGAGGAAATGGAGTTTAGTATTTAAGGAATCAACACAATTTCTATTTTACTTTTCATATTCAGGCTAGTGTTTTCATTTATAGTGCTTTTGTATTATATAGACTCTGTATATGTTTTCTCTGATCAATTTGAGTAGAAACTATGGCAAAGTGATAGTGTACTTTGTAAACCCTCAACATATTTATTTAAGAAACTTCAAAGAGAAACAAAGGGTGTGCACTGTTTTACTATATTGGCTTTCTGAGTTTTGGCTGGTTTCCCAAATAGCAATTTTTATATTTAAAAAAAAAAAGACAGACTTAACTGCTTGCAGACTTTTCACGCATGGAAGATGAAGAAAGCTTCTTTTGATGAAGTGTAATTATGTCCAAACAGAGCTGACCCCCTCCCCCTATATTTCTTATGATCTTAACTGAAGAAAGTAGGGTTTTTCCTTTGAAGCAGCCGGGACTTGGTGGAGGATCTGAAATGCTACAGTCTGCTGCCAGAGGCAGGATGGAGAAATTGGTCCAGACTTGTCTTAGAGACTTCTACGAGAGAGAGAGAGAGAGAGAGAGAGAGAGAGAGAGAGAGAGAGAGAGAGAGAGAGAGAGAGAGAGAGAGAGAGAGAGAGAGAGAGAGAGAGAACACTAATAATAGATTATTTTATCAGTACCTACAATGTATTAAAGGAAACAGTTAACAGCAAACATAAGTCAGGAGAAAAAAATATCATCAAGAGAATATTGATAACATGAATCAAACATTGTTTTTAAAATGAGTAAGTTGTTTTTCAGTGACAGGAAGCTCTCTAACTTGTATCTCTTTGTACCTGATCTGGTTTATTGCACCTTCCCCCCCCCCAGTTTCCTCTTTGATAATCATGCATCTTTATCTCTAAAATAAGGGAACTGTCCTAGAAGGCCTTTGAGGTCCCTTTTATCTCTAGATCTATTACCCTATGATCTAGATTTTTCTTAAGTTGTGGAGACCAGATCAATACCCTGCTACCACCATACCTCTCCAATTCTGCCTCCCCACTCACTCATATATATCTATATCTATATCTATATCTATATCTATATCTATATCTATATCTATATCTATATCTATATCTATATAAATATATACACATAATATGTATATATGTACACATATGTATATGTATATATGTGTATGCACATATATTTGTGTATATTTATACATATATATGTATGTATGTATGTATAATATTTTTTCCTTTGCTCTTGAAGAAATGGTGAGAATTTTCCAGGGCTACATTGTATTTTTCCTTCAGTTTGGGAAAGATAACCAAATCTACTTCATGACAACATATTACAGAAAGTCATATAACTATTATAATTTGGCCATGCAAAACTCCACTGATGCCTAACACTTTTGGACTTGTTTTGCAATCAGATATTGGTTAGATAATGGCTTCAGTGAAACTTCTCTTATACACCTGTGGTTGAGAACTGCACATAGTTTCAGATCATGCTTTCCTTTTCTTTTTTCATCGTGAACTCAACAAACGTGAACATTTCAATATTCCAAGAACAACAAAAGAGGATTGTATGTGAAACTTTGAACTTGTTAGTACAATTGTTTTTAGGTGTACCTAAATTTAAGAGGGTAGCAACAGAATTGCTCTGTCTCCTTCTGAATTTCTTTTGGTTTTCTTCGGTATATTTTAAACAATTTGTTGTTGCTACTCCCTTCTTCCTTCCTTCCTTCCTTCCTTCCTTCCTTCCTTCCTTCCTTCCTTCCTTCCTTCCTTCCTTCCTTCCTTCCTTCCTTCCTTCCTTCCTTCCTTCCTTCCTCCCTCCCTTTCTTTCTCTATCATTAACCACTTGTAGTTACTACCTATTGCTTCATAACAAATACATTTAATTAAGCAATACCAATCAACACTTTGGTTGTGTCAGAAAATGTTTGCCTCATTCTGTGCTAATGTAGTGCATCCAGCATCTTTGCCAAGATGCATTTGCTACTAGCCTTCTCCAGTCATTACTGGTCACTCCTCATGTGTTCCTTTTTCTGCCTTCACATTTTCAAAAGACCAGTGATTACTTGGCTTTAAAAAAGCCCTAACAAAATTCATGCTCTTTTTCATGTCAAACACAACTTTAAATTCAAGTCAATAAACATTTTTAAAGAACCTACTACATGTATACAAAACACCGTATTAGTCTAAGAGAGAACAGAGCCAAAATAGAAGGGTATTTCCTGTACTAAAACAGCATTCCCCCCTTGTTATGCTTGACAGTCCCTCAGGCTACCATAATGATTGTCTGTCAATGTTAGCCTCCTGTGGTTACAACTGAAAATATAGGACTTGAGGATGTAGTTCAGAAGTAACCCCCAGATAAGTTTCTGGCTGATGAAATTAGTAAATCAGCACTAAAAGTAGTTGTTAGTTTCCAGGAGTAAAGAATATATATATTTTTAAGAGTATGTCAAAGGCTAATAAAAAAGGATGTGTGGAAAAGATACTTCTTTTGGTTGATAAAAGATATCCAGGAAATAAAGCAAGACTTTATCTGAGGAAAGCATAAATATCAACATAAAGACATAACCTACGAGTTTGCCATTATTTTGGAATAGAGTGTTAATTCCTATGTTGGTTGACATTCCCTGATTTTGTCTTCAGTATTACCTACATCTTGTTTCAAAAGAACAGCAGAGTGGGAGGAATCTCTGTTAAAAAAAATTAAATGTTAAGCACATCTTGTTCTTTGGGATTTGATTTTGAAACAGCTGTAATTTAAAAGCTTATTTCTTCCCCAGAACCACTACCCACATCTTTATTTGAGAAGGATAAATTGGGGCAATATAGGAAACTGGTTCCACTTTGAAAATTTGCATTAGTTTTTAAATTGTAGACTAAATGTCTGGAATGGTGCAGATTCTCTTTTGCATAGAATGTTGCCTTTGAATTAGGGGAAAAATAATACTTTTCAACCTTAAAATGGAATCATAAGGTTTCAAAATATAAATAGGTTCAAAACAAGCTTAGCTAAGTTTGTAGTTGATGCCTATAATCAGTTAATAATAGAATCTAAGATTACTTGGGGGCACATCTTTAGCCTTTTAAAAATATTTTATCTTGCCTTTTGTTTTCACATGACAGTCATTTTTGGATAAATTCCCCAACCACACCCACCCCACCTTGCAAAAAAAAATAAATTTGCCACTCCCCCTCCTTGCAAAAAAGAAAAAAAGAATAATTATCACAACTGAGTGACCATATTTGTTTAGTATATTCAACAGTCTGCACCTATAAACCCTCTCTCCACCCCCACCTTCTCTAGGTGGCATAGGGAATAGAGTGCTGGACCTGTAATCAGGAAGACCTGTGTTCAAATACAGCTTTAGACACTTAATTTTTATTACCCTTGGCAAGTCACTTGACCTCTGCCTGCCTCTGTTTCTTCATTTATAAAACGAGGATAATAATAGCACCTGTCTACCAAGTTTGTTGTAAAGATCAAATTAGATGATATTTGTAAAGTGCTTTGCAAACCTTAAAGCATTATATACATGTTGCAGTTACTATTGTTGTTATTGTTACTACTGCTATTACTACTACTACTATTCTTTAAAGGATGGAAGTCAATTGCGTTATCTATCCTCCAGGATCAAGTTTAGTTATTCTGATTACTCAGACTCCACTTCCTTTTAGTATTATTTTCATTGACATGCTTGTAGACATTGTCTATGTTGTTCATTTGGTTCTCCTTACTTTGCATCACTTTGTGTAAGTCATCCCCATGTTTAGCTGAGTTGCTCATATTTGTCATTTCTTCCAGGACAATAATATTCCATTACGTGTGTATAACACAACACTGTTCAGCTATTCCCCAATCAATAGCATCTACATTGTTTCCAGTTTTTTGCCATGAATATTTTGCAATACTCTGTTTCTTTCTGGCTTTTATGTCTTTAGGGTACGCGCCCAGTAGTGTGTCTGTAGACTTTTGAGATCAATGCTATGGAAACAAATACTATCTTTCTCCAGAAGTCATCAGAGATTGCTCATGTTTAGAAATTGTAGACCTGATCCACTTGAACCACTGATCTGAGCCAGGATGGTGAAGTATAAAGATTTCTGGATTTGAAGTCAAAGAGCTGGGTTCACAACCTATGCTACTTCTTGTGACATCAGACAAATCCCTTAACTTCTATCTTTCCTCATGTGTGAAATGTCAGAATCAGACTGGACCCCTGAAGCCTTTTCAGCTCTAAATCTATTCTTACCAGATAAAATCAGTTTTATCTTAGAGATCCAGATCCTTATGGATTTTTCTGTATTGGAGGAATAATCTCAATTCTTTTATTCAACTTCTCAATTTCAAATTTTTAAACACTGAACATAAAGGAAATTTATATGTATATATTTTAGGTTATCACTGATCTCTTCCTGTCCTGTTCTTCTCTTCAGCCATATCAACTGGCCTTTAGTTTGGAGAAAGATAATTTGGATTCTTTAAAACATATATTTCATAATTGACAATCACTGGAAATGTGATGTATTAAAGGCCACACTTCAAAAGTAGGTGTCTTCATCACCTTGCTCTAGATTTTTGCTTCTATTCATTTCAAACACACTGAACTGGGGGACATTTCTCTACTTAGGAAAGATTCCCCACCTCTTAAAAGATTCTTTAATATTCCGGAGGAATATTCTTCTGCATTTTCTTGGCCATTGGAAAAATATAGCCTAGGAGACCTAAAGCCACATGCTCGGTAACAAATGATGTGTGTCTTAAACAGATTTTAGGAACCTCCACGGCCTGGTTTGAAAAGAAAACCCAGTCACTAGACTTGACAGCCAAAGACCTGTTCTGCATTAAGCCTTATGTATAACCTGTTCCATATTAGGCTTTGAAAAGATTGCATTAAGTTTTGCATTGCTACATATTGTTTAAGATTTGTGTTTTGATTTAATGCTCTCAGAGCTCAATGAAGGGAAAGAGTCACTGGTCAGAAAAAAAAAAGCTTTTTAAAAGGTTCTGGTCCAGAAGCCATCTCAGTGGGCAGCAAGGCCTCAGACTGCTGAATGTTTTATTGAGTCACTCTTATACGCCTACCCTTTCCTGTCTTGTAACAGTTTGCAGTTTTGACTATCTGACATTACTAACCGTTGCATATCTAACAGATTACAACTGTCAGTGAGTCTGCATAACAGAGGCTGGTGTCTTCTTATGGGGAGAACATACATTCAAAGCTCATATTGCAATTTCCCCTGTCTTTTCTTTCCTCCTTTTCATCACCTTCTGCCCAGGAATCTGAATCATCAGTTGTGATATTTCAACAAAGTGTGGGGGACCCCTCCTAAAAGTTAAAATTCAAATGTACATTTGGGGGATGCCACATATATCTGGCACACAATAAGCCACTGTCAGATGATTGTTTCAGGGCTTAATAGTGGGGACATATGTAAAGGGGGGTGGTTGGAATTGGGGGTGGAGGAAATCTTTGTTCCAGTAATGATGAAATCATCATCATACCACGGGCACATTAAGGCCAGGACAGGAGACACTAGCTCCCTGTTAAAATGATTCCCATAAGAACTTGACTCTTTCATCTTCTTATTGTAGTGCAGTTAAGCAAATGAAATGTTAAAACCATGTGAAGTAAATAACATAATCAACAATGATTTACTATTGTTCTCTCATAGGGTTGTGACCCAAACCTAAATAAAGGCTTCTAAAATTGTCTGGGTTTGGATGTGTTCCTGATGTTACAGAAAACCGAAAGGAAGAGAAAACTCCAAGAGTGGGCTGTGGCTTTTGTTTTTATTACCATTACTGCTACTGCTCAGCACTTTTAAAACCTGGAACTGCCTTACTCTTCATGTTGCATGATGGATCAAGGCAGTCATGTCTAATGCTGAGGCTGCTGTTATGTCGACGGGCAAGTCTAGCGACTATTTAAAACTGCAGGTGGAGAGAGGGCTTATAATTGAGAATTAGAAATGCTTTGTCTTGGGTTTGGACGATGGGAGCTCATTTTCATACAATCAGAGATCATAAGACTGTAGGGTTTTTCAGAGTTCCTCTACCTAGTACAACCTCCTCATTTTACACATGAAGAAACAGAGGGGAAGGGAGGTTAAGCAAAAGCCTGATGTGGAAGAGCTGGGATTCTGACCTGGAGACCAAAGTCCTTTGATTCTAAATTCTGCTATTTTTACCATACAATGCTGTCTCTTCAGATATGGGGAAATCATACTTTGAAAACCTTCATAGCTGCATTGAAATTGACAATTGCTTCTTTCTTGTATTTATTATGGATTATTCTGTCTTTCCATCTGCAGGAAAGAGTTTCACCCTGACAATAACTGTCTTCACAAATCCCCCCCAAGTTGCCACCTACCACAGAGCTATTAAGGTTACAGTAGATGGGCCTCGGGAACCAAGAAGTAAGTACTTGCCTTTCTGTTAAATACAGTGATAGTACAGATAGATATGTGGAAAATGTACGCTCCTGAGTGGGGATATTGAATTCATGCTCAGCAACGTAGGTTTGGATATATGATTTCTTTACCAAATACACTATTTCCATCTAACTTCAGTGGAGGAACAGTTAAAAACAATTCCCAGTTAGTGGGAAATAAAATTACAGACCCATCCTTTGCCGCAAGACAACTAATGCATCTGAGACACTGGGAAGAGAATTCATAATCATTCTTTAGCTGGAATTCAGTTTTATAAGAACTTCAATATGTTTGTTTCATAATAATGAACAGACTAGCTCCACAAGGCCCAAGGTAGAAAACAACAAACCGTTAAAAAATCTTGGGCTCAGTCAAAAGCACTTGTATGTATTTCCCATGGTCTAAGAATGTGTTTTAACTCTTGTATTCGCCCACTCATTCCCTTTATAAAGAGCACACTCCTTAATTATAAAAAATTTATTTGCAAATGATAACTTGCTTGATTGTTACAACACAGTTGTTTGGTCATGTTCCAGTAATTGTTATAGATAGCTTCTGCTAACAGATATAGTCTGACTTGGTTTAATCTGTCTTGGTTTATTTGTCTGTCTGGGCATCCGGCAGCTTTAGCCAGCAATCTTTTTTACATCATGTACATACTCCACATGGGCCAATATGCCTTAATCTAAATTAAAGCAGATTTTTCAAAAATCCTCAGACAAACTGATTAGAACAAATCTGGAATACCTGTATTTAAATATATTTAGAGATTAAAGATTATTCGATGTATAAACCACATTAAAAAAATCATGTCAGTGAAAGCATCACTTTCACCACTCTCCCCTTTGATGAGCAAATACATGTGAGGCAGAGCCATTGCTCTTAACGAGTTTAATTTGTGGCAGAGGTACAGTTGGAAGAATGATTTGACACAGAGCAGCACACCTGTCTAGATGGCAAAAATTGACCACCTTTCCTTCCCTTACAATGGTGAAACAAAGGCTAGCAAGGTCTTGTCTCTGCTAGGACTACATGGCATCTCCATGAGTAGTGAGAATGATCACATACCTCTCCTATGGCTGCTGTCTCTCTTCATGAAGGCTGTCTGCCTGCCTGGGCTGGGGAGGTTTCCTGCTTCAAAACTGAGTCTTTGAGGTTTTTGTTTTCTCCTCCTTTCATGTGCATGGCATCCTTCCAAGTTCACAAAGTTGGGTCAGTGCTAGTTCTGCCTTTTCAGCTTGGGATCCTCCTATTCAGAGGTGGATGACCCACACATCTGTAAGAGCCTGAGGTTGTTAGACTTATAAGGGAGGTTAGCCCATTAGATGAATGAAGGATAGCTTCAGGGTTCTTGTCTGAATGTGCCTGGGGCTTTCCCTGACTTCGAAGTCAGGGATGACCACCTGTGTTGGAGAATACCTATTTGCCCATTTTATCCAACCCCTGAAGTCCTGGAGAGTCAGGGAAGTTCACTTGTAATATGCATAAAGTAGGGCACTTGTTATTTTAATATTTCTCCTTAAGTAACATACATCTTTTTAAAGGATGTTTCTTACTGATCTCAGCCTTCCTGTCTTGGTTTAGGGGAAAACAATATAAAGGATGAGTACATATGTGTTGGTAATTAGGAGTACTGAGAGGATAAATACAAGAAAAGATAGGTATGCCTTCAACTGGAATCAGTTTTCCTGAAGACATGACAAAATGGGAGAAGATACTATGACCTGGGAAGGAAATGATCACTTTAGGAGGAATGACACAGGAGGTCATCTTTATGTGACTGTTTTTTTTTTAAACATTTTTTGTTACATTTGAATTCAAAGCTGTTCCCTTCCCTCCCTCCCAAGTCTGCACTAGAAAAAGCCAAGATTTGACAGAGACATATATGAGAAACTTATAAAATACATAGTTGTATATATCACTTCTTTCTCTGGAGGTGGATACATCTTCCTTCATAGGTCCTTTGTAGTTGATTTGAATATTCATATAACTCAGAATAACCTGATCATTCACATTTACTCTTTGAATAATATGCTGTTACTGTATGCAACTGTATACAATGTTCTCTTGGTTCTGTTCATTTCATTCTTCATTATGTCAAGCAAGTCTTTCCATGTTTTTTGAAAATCAAACTGCTCATCATTTCTTATACCACACTAGTATTCCATCACAATCATATATCACAACTTATTCAGCCATTCTCCAAATGACAGGAATCCCCTCAATTTCCAATTCTTTGTTACCACAAAGAGAGCTGCTATAAATATTTTAGAATGTATGGGGTTTTTTTTCCATTTTTCCTTGATCACCTTGGGAAATAGACCTAATAATGGTATTGTTGGGTCAGAGGGTATACATAGTTTTATAACTCATTGGATAATTACAAATTGCTCTTCAAAATGGTTGGATCGGTTAACAGTTCGACCAACAGTGATTGCTTTTCAATATTATTCTGCTGCCCTGGGAAATTCACTTAGTTTTTCTGTGAAATGAGAACAGTAGTATTACTTTACAGAAATGAAGGGGGCAAAGTAGACCACCTAGCAGTGACCCTTTCCAATTTTAAAACCCACAGTCCTAATTTGTGGTGGGAATGAATTAGTTGATGTTTATCAAGAATACCAGTACTTTCAAACTGGAAAAAACTCTATTGGGGAAATTAAGGTTTTGGTGTGTGAAACAGTCACTTTGGCATCAACTTATGTTTAAGGTACCAAAGCTCTTTGGTTGACTAAATTCCTACTCTAACATTTCTGAATGACGTTTTATGGAAATCCAAGAGTTGTTTGTCTATGGGTAACTAGATGTCGTGTTCATGATATCATGGAGTACTTTTCAGGAGGGGAGCAGGAAGTGGAAAGTTGAAAACCCAGCAAATTCAGAACAAATTTCCAGGTGACTCCTGTATCAGAAGGCATCTTAAACAGGACCAGCTTTTCCAATTTGATTACTCAACACTGCATCTATCCTTTTCTGCCTTCCATTTCCCAGCAACCTTAGCTTTGCTGGACACCAAACATGCTTGGTATTCTGCTTTCCCCTTGCTCTCTCTCTCTTTAATTTCAAAGACTTCAGGTGTCTGAAGATGGAGAGTCATTTGTATTTTTCTACAAGGAATTAAGCAGTATTTTGTTTTAGAGAGAGTTCATCTAGTGTTAAATTAAGTGGACTGGAGCCCTCCAAAATTCATATTGTCTAGTTTTATAGTCCTTTCTTGCAGACAATGTGGAAAAACCTTTAGGAAGAAATTCCCTGAGAGCGAACCAGAGAATGAGTCCACTAATGAGAAAGTTTCAGATTTTTTTAAAAAATGTAGGATTTTTATTTTTTGAGTGGAAAATTTTGCCACAGAAACTAGTCTATTGTGATGGGTTGAACCAACTGAGGATTTTGCTCTCCTAATTTAGTGTTAATGGAATGTCACTCTTACCTAAAATGACTTGACTATCTGTTGAAGGCTTGCTCTTATCCTACCAACTCTTCCATCCAGCTTTTGTTTAAGTAGAGAATCAGAGAGTTAGGTTTTAGTTGGTACGGATTTTCTTTTTAATCAGCAGTTCTGCATATGACAGGTGAAATGTCTTGTTGTTTTGGAGGTTTCTTTATAGCAAGCCCTCAAATTCTCAAGAGATGAATAACTCTGTAAAGGAAACTGCCATACTACAGGTTTTACATAAGTGCTTGTTTCTCCTAGTGAGACGTCAGCTCCAATTTCTGCACATTAGTAAATGACACTAATCAGCAATATAAATAATGCCTTCAGCCTGCATCCACGTGGACTGGGGAAAGCAAAGTGGAACAGATGCTGATTATGATTCTATTATAACAAAACAAAACAACAACAAGGACAAAATTCCCTGCAGTTGGCCGTACTGCAGCCAAACAATGCCACCTCTCTGAGGTCTGGCCTATTGTCACATCTGTTGAGATCTTTGTATTCAGAAATCTGAAGGGCTTCATCTTTCTATGCTTTCTGTCTCTGGCAGCTGAACCGGTGTTGTCACTTCACAAACAACTCCTTTTCTTAATATACACATCTGGCGTTGGCAGTTGGACTAACTTCATAAGAGCACATGATCATCACTCATTACAAGATTAAAAAGTACCCCATGGCATCATTGATGTTTTTTGACTTTGATCTTTTGCAGTTGTGATTCATCTCAGTTATAAAACTTCCCTTTAAAGGAACATAGCCGATGACTTATTAGGACCTTCATCTTAAGTAGCGTAAACATGAAAACGGTGCACATCTTTACAGAATGTCATTTACTTTCCTTGCCAGCTTATCATTTTAAGACATGACATCATGCTGAAGATCCCAAATTTGTAAGTCTTGTTTTCAGGCAAGACTTTGTGACCTTATGTTGGTGAGTTAACTTGAGAGAATCAATAGCATGTACTTTTCCAAAGATGTCATCTTCAGCGCTGGCAGCAGTAATGTCACCAAAGATATCTTACTTGGTCAGACATCAGTTTCTGTTAGCAATCTGCTATCTGTTTAAGCACCTGGTTCCACCTCTCTGCCTAATTTAAAGGATTCTCATAAGGAAGAAGAAGCTTGGTAGCACAATCTATAGTTTGTTATTCTGGTGCTCTCAAAGAAGGGTAGCAGTATTGGTAAATACTACTGAGGATCTTTCATAAAGGGTTTTGTCAGCATGAGAGAACTCCCCATATGGGAACATCTTCCACCATTCCTTCATATTAACAATCCATCTATGACATAAGTTAAGTACTAGGGACTTCTTGCCTGAGGCACATTGAGGTAAGACGTCTTTTTATGATTGAACAATTATTTCATGTCAGTGGCAGATTTTGAACCCAGGTCTTCCTGACTTCATCCACTAGTCAGCCATTTCAACAAGTATTTGTTAAGCACCTACTATGTGATAGGCACAGTGCTAATTGCTAGGGATATAAAGAAATGTAAAAACACAGTCCTGCAGAAGGTAGGATCTATCCTGAAGCTTCAAGGAAGCCAGGAA